GCTAAAACATCAGCCACGTTTCAGAGCACCGCTTACGATTTCCTATGCAATACTGAACGTGCAAATACACCCACCCTTGCCCAAATCATTACCTCTTCTGGAAACCTCCTTTCGTTTCTTTCAAGTCCTTCACTGTGACTCTTCCACCGTTATGTTGGGATAACAGCAAGGAGCATCTCATACACACCTGGATGTGGGCAGCTCTATCAACACGAGTATTTCTTCAGTTCCCCCCCCATGCTGGTTCTCTGAAGCTGGTGCCTCCCCTGGCTCTCGCCCTGCCAGTCACCAGAGAACAAGCTCCATCCAGCACCTGTTAGGGTTTTATGCTGCTGCATATCACTGTAGTACTTTCCACATAAGAACAATAGGAATTACAAAGCCCATCACAGTAGAAATATTCCTCTTTAATCCCATAAGAAGCATCACCACTGTGTCCTGAAACAATGCAGCTCTTCACTGCAAGCTCACCTCCATGCAAGAAAAGGATGAAATAGAGCACCTTCATTAGTTGATGTGCACCTCAGTGTGAAGTGAGAGCTCCTTCCAACCACTCAAACGCCCGCAGTGGACCATACTGTCTGCTTGCTAGAGCCAAAGCCATCTGAGGCTAAGCCATCACTGAATGACCCTTCGAGGAGGTAAAAAGAAGCATTTCACCACACTTTCAGTGATGCTTCTGACACATGACCACAAAGGGCCTGATTCTGCTCAGCATGCACTTGCTCTGACTGTTTGCACCAGCTCAAACAGAGGAAGAGGCTCTTGGACATCCCCACATCAGAGTGATACCAGCATCACAAGACAAAATTCCTCCTTTTTCTTCCCAAGCAATCAATCCATCAACATGGTAAAAAAAAAAGTAAGTTTAATGTAGGTGGCATGTTTCATACAGAATTTAACAGGCACCCAAAACACCAGCTGGTGCCATGTTCTGCAGCGTTTAACAAGGTGAAACTCCAGCACTTCAGTCTCGTTCGTGCATTCCCAGGCTAAATAACAGGCTAAAGCAGTTTTGCCACCGCACGTATCCTCACCCCTGGGCTGCAGTCTGCAATGCAGCCCCAGCCACTCTGCTGCCCAAACATCTGGAATGCTCTGGAGCGAGCAGGAAGCTCTCCTGAGGGGTTGGTGTGGGTCTGAGATGGCCACACTCTCTCAAATCAGTATTTCTGGTCTTTTTTCCCAATTACTCTTGAGGTCATTTTTAACCCAGTAAATGTCATAGCAAGATTTAAAGCCCAAACATGAAAGGAAATGGAAAGTTCAGCTTCCTCTGTTTCCTTATTTGTATTCTATGAAGTTTTGCTCCCCCCCTTATTAAACATGCCAGGTTTTTCAATTAAATGGGGAAAAACCCCACCAGCTTATTCTTGGCATATACTTCATACCCCTTTCTCTCTCCCTCAGCTGAGGCTCCCCTTGAGCTTATAAGAAAGTTTAAGAATCTCAGCTCCCTGAGAAAAAAACATTTTGGCAAAGTTATCCCCAAAGCTTTCAAAAACCCCCTTAAAATCTCAAATTTAAACCCACTGAATTTAAATTCGGAACTATTCCCAAGACCCTGCTTATCCTGCAGCCTCCTGGGATGTGTGAGGCTTAATGAGCTCCTGCTGGAAAACACTCTGAAGAGTGCCAGGAAGGTGCCAAGCACTGCTCCACTCCTGTGGATCTAAAGTGTTCCCATTATTACATCATAAGCCAAATGATTTGGAAGTTAATTCCTCTGCCTTGCCAGCATGGCCGCGAAGGGAACACGGATTCCCCATTACACTCGTAGGATCGCATCACCCAAGCGCTGCAAGATGTCCATGTGCTGGTAATGACCAAGCATGGAGTATTTTGAACTTCATAGTTGAGGCCTCCTTCTCAGTCATTGAACCTTGGGGTTGTCTACCTTGGTGTGCCACTACAGACTCAAGATTCAGGGCATTGGGAGAGTAGGTACTTGGCTGCCTTTGCAAAAGACAACTGGGGAATCATTTCCCATTGTCTTTTGCACAACCTGGCCCCAAGTCCTCTCTTGAGGAACATCTGGGCATTTGGCAAATGTTCCTTTTTTGTGGTTTGATAAGGACATGTACTTTCTCCTCAATACACACTATTGAATCAGGATGAGGAGGGCTGGTGGGAAGTCTGTGCAGTAAAGCAATAAACCACAACACAGAAGCCCTTGTTTGGTCATTGCAGGAGCATCATGTAGCAGATATGGGCTGCTCAAAGAACCACTGCCAAAAGTAGCAGCAAAAGTGGTTTTATTGAAGTAAGGTGTTAAAGTGGGGCTTAACAGAGTCTGATGGGAAGGGTTAATCTACTACTTACTGCACTCAGGACATAATAATGATTCAAAGTTGCCAACGCAGGATTTTACTGCCCTGTAATACAAGGTTAGGAGCAGCATCAGTCACTTACCAAAGATGTGCAGTTAGTGAGGGGTCTCTTAACCTTGAGAAACATCCCAACTCAAGAGGGCATCACTGCCACGCAGCCAGCTGCTTAGCAGGGAGCGCTCAGAAAAAGCTCAGTGTCACATTTATTCAATAAGGCAGTTGGCTCATAGTCAAATTACATGGGATGGAAAAGGTAAGTATGAGAGTCCTTGTACCCACAGCCTCCTTTGTTCCGTGACCAAATCAGCCCTGGAATAACCACCTGCTATTCATGTGTTAATCGCATGATCAGTGTTCCGGTTTCCAGGCTCACAGACATCAAAGCTCTCGGTGTCACCCTGTTCCTGTGTGGGTTTTCAAAGGACAGGGTGGAACTGGAGAAGTTCACGACCCGGTCACAGCCTCGACCTTTACTTCCTCCAGAAGCCTGAACCAAACTACCACTGGTTTGGTCAAGCAGTTGGGGGCACCCATCACAGGGCACCCACCAGCTGAGCTGACATGGGTAGGGAGCACAGCAGAACCCACATGTACCACGAAGCACCCTTTCACTCATCATTATGGGCCAGGCTGGATGGGGCTCGGAGCATCCTGGGGAAGGTGTCCCTGCCCATGGCAGGTGTTGGAACTGGATAAGCCTTAAGGTCCCTTCCAACCCAAAGCAGTTTGGGATTCTATGATTCTAATGAGTGCTGAAATACAGCCACTCCAAGGTGAAAGGAGGTCCTACCATCCAGCCTCAGACTGAGCCTCCTGTGAAGGGCAAGCTGCTCTCAGCTGAGCCTCGCTGGGGTCCTGTTGGCCTCTCAGCTCACACCAGGGCTATTTGCTGGCCATCTGTAATGTGCTTCCTCCAGTACCGCTTGAGCACAGCCACGCTGAGTCCCACAGTCTGCAGAGCAGAGCTGCAATGCCCCGGCCTGACAGCTGTACTGGGGAAGGAAGCACTGGGCTGGGAGTTACTGGGAATTCTCTGCCCACAGAGCAAGCTGTAGCTCACACGTACAGCGCATGAGGACCTGCAGCCCAGAGACCAACCCCAGAACAAAGCTCTGGGGAGCTCCACAGTTGGGAGGAAACTTCCAGACACCAGTTTGTGACATCTGCTGATATACTGCATCTTTCCTGCAGAAACAGCCTTTGGCTCTCCTGGGGCTAACCTAAAGTTCACACTGCCACGGCCTGTCATTTACCCAGCTCTGCATTATCTGTAACACTTGATAATGAGACAGTTTCTAGGTTTGCTTTAGCTTTGGGCTTCAGACAGCAGCTCCTTTACTTTGCATCCATTAAGCCTACAAATCAAAGTAAGTAAGCAAAAGACTGCAGTACTCACAAGCTGAAATATGAAGCATCCTTCTCTGTGTGCAAACTGGCTTTGTTCTCAACCACATTTATGTCTCAGACCAGAGAGATCATACAAGAACAGTCACATATTTCCAGTCTTGCTTATTCCACTATGATTGACTCCAATGATTTTGGGGAAGAGGGTAGCCATCACTTTTACCAATTTGTTTTTAAACAGTTCTTCAAAGAACACAGGGAAAAGAGCAATATTCCATCATAAGGAAAAACAAAACAACAAAATCAGAATAAAACACTTTAGGCCAGCTTCTGGCCTCTGTAAACAAACTCACTTGACTGCCTGCACAGGAACAGTCCGATGTCTTTGATCAAGACCAGTAAAACTGAGCTTAATGCTTAACTCCCTTCTTGAGCTGTTAGCAAAGGTCTCCTGCAGAGGCAGGAGAATGCTTTCTGTAACTGCAGATACTGCCATTTCAGACTGTACTCTGCTTTCAACCTCTCCTCGGTATGACAGCCCCATCTCACCATACTCCGTGGGACAGAAGTACCTCTGCAAGAAAACTGGAACTAATCAATTCAGGGGAAAGCAGAACCAAATGCCAAGATCTGGATGCTAAGGACCAGTGCAATGGGTTCAACTTTATCACCTAAAATGAGAACATATTTGCCATGACAGGGAATTTCAAGAGCACATGATGCCAAGCTCTGCTCCCATCACTCCCGTGGATTTGTTCTATTAGGGTAAGACTCAATTACTCAGCACTAACTGCCTGAAAAGGACAAAGCCATCCAAAGCTATAGAATTACATTAAAGTGAACAGAACAGCACAGTGGGTCAGATACACATCTTGCACAAATCAAAACAGGAAAAAGCCAAACCCCTACACTGTTGAATTTAGCCCCATATTCTTAGCTAGAAATATGCAAACTGCAGATTACAGTCGAGCAGGATGCATGTTACATGCCTGAGACATTAAGGAACATTCTTAGAAAAAGGGGGAAGCTGGATCAAGAGCATGGGGTGCACAATTATCTGGCTTCTGTCCTCCAGATAAATCCTGCCTTTTCCATGCCCACAGGAATACAGGCACAGCAGCACGAGGCTCCTCTGAACTAGAGACACTTATATTAACTTGCACTGTGCAAAGAAAAAACCACCCCATCGAGTGTTGCACTTTGATCACCAAAATGGCACCTCAGTCCTCAAAAAGATATAAACTGAAGAGACAAGGGGGTTAATTCATCCATAAAAAGTAGCACTGCTAAATAAATTAATCTATATAAAAAACAAGAGAGGCTATCGACAGGTTTGGGGGTAGAAGAAGAGTCACCTTCTGAGCCCACATGCGCTTGTTTTATTTACATATCCACAAATACCATGAAACACCATCCCAGCCCCCCCACTAGCAGCATGGTCACATGAATCCCATAGATGAGCAGTTCATTCATGAGGCTGAAGTCTACACGCCTTCGCCCCAGTAAGAGGAGGATGATGGAGAGTTTGTACTGGAAACGCAGAAAGATCCGGATGCCAAGGTACTGAAGGCAAAACAAGATAGAGAGTGCCACCCAGAGGATGGAGGTAAACAGGCTGCAGCTGAAGTACAGCAGGAAACGGATGAATCCATACATCCATCGGGATTTGAGATAGATGTCGAAATTGTTGTACTTGGTACGCACCAAGTGAGTGGTCCTCACCGGGCCACAGGCCGAGTGCAGGCAGGTCGTGTGGGGGCCGTGGAACGAGCGGACCCGGCGGGGAATGGGGATTACCGGCATCAGGCACCCCACCGGTCACCGAGTCCCAGGGCAGGATTTACAGGGCACATATCAAATATTATCCATGAACATGGAAGAGCTCCAACAGCCCAGGAACGCTAACTCTTTGCTGAATTTCCAGGAAGGAAGAGACCTGCAGGAAGGCAGAGAAGGAAAACACATTTAAGTAGCCCCAGCAGGAGGAGAGCAGCACAGCAGATACTCCAGGCTCAGCCATGACTTACAACTGCTTTGTGAAACTCAGCAACTTCACTTTGCTTCTTTGGTTACTGTTTACCAGCCATACAGAGGTACCAAGTCAGACTGCACACAGCTCCCTAGTCACCTGCAATGTCAGCACTAGTTGTAACCTGTTAGAAGCTCCACGGTGTTACTGCAGGAAAGGGAACAACTTTGTTCTGGAATAAATCACAGATCCTTCTTAACCAAAGAGCCACGCTGCAGCAGTCCACCCATGCGAGTAGTAATATTAATGGAATAATGTAATATTAATTCATGTTTCTTTGAAAGGAGAATACCAGTTTTCCAGGTACTTCTGCAAGTGAATTCCACCGCCCAGCCCCAGCGGTGAGTTTGGATTTCGGCTCATTTCTAAACTTGGCAAAGCTTCACCAAATAAACAAACTGAAAAGAATGGCAGGTCCTGCAGGAACAATGAGGCAATCGTGTTTTTCACACTCCGCAGGATGTACCTCCCCTTGCTCTGCCTGTCACTGCCTCCCATGGCAAACAGCCTTTCAAAGACATCCACTAGTTTCTTTCTCCCTTTGGGACCTGCAGAGATAAGTGAAATTATCTTGATCTTCTGGAATGTTTAGGATTTATAATCTTAACATCCTTCCACACACCCATTGTTGTTGTGTGAGTGATGAGCAGTAGCCCCTTAGCTGCTCTCTGCTTCACCCCAGGCTCACAATGTGCCAAATTCCGGGAATTATACAATGACAATGCACTCATCAGATAATGCTGAAAACAACAGGGACTTCCCTGGCCTCCTCGCACACCCAGGCTGCAGAGCTGGGCAGATCTTGCCTTTGTTGAACTAGAAATCCTACTAGACTTCAAATGAAAACTAATATGAAAGGGACTTCAAGAAGTTTTACTTTGCTACTAACAAAACTCATCACAGAATAAATGATGAGGCGGCAGGAAACTGCACTTTGATAGCAAACCCCTCTTCTGATGTAATGTGCACCACTGCCCAAGTCTTCATTGCTTCCTACCTCAAATTCCCTGCAAATGGAAATTGCAGCTCTGCTCTCTGCGTGGCCCCAGGTTCCAACTCCTTTTTGCCAGGAATCAGCAGGCAACCTGCTGGCTCTGCATGAATCAGGGGTGAATAAAAAGGAGCCTGGATTAACTTATGATTAAGGAATTTAGGAAATTGAGGTCTGTTCTCAGCTCCCAAAGACACCCTTGTAATTTTAAGAGCTGCTTGCCCATAATTTCCTGCCTGCAGAAAGGAAATACCATCAGCTCGGAAGTGTGTTACAAGAATGTATTTTGCAAGACATGTAATTTGGTCAGATACTAAACCAACACTACTTAAAATCAACACAGTTTTGTGCCTGGAGCCTGCAACCAAACATGCTTCTCACATGCTCTGTATATACTGCTCTGTGTTTGTTTTCAAAGGTATTTTTGGAGGACTAAATTAGCAAGAGAGGTTAAAATTCACACTCGGGACTCAGAACATGCAGTTTCTATTGATGCAGCCTCCTTCCAACCCCTTTTCCAGGCCACAAAGGGCAGTTAACATTTCCAGCAAACTCTTACACAGCTCCCGAATCCAAGTCCCTGAGAGCCACAGGGAAATCAGAGCACTCAGCACCACTGTGCCTGTGTGAGGAGCCAAACCCTGCCCCCCTAAGGTGCAGTTTGTGGGGGTGAACTCAATACCTTGGCTTCATGTCTGAGCCCTGCTTTGGAAGAGTTTTCATCCTGATAAAACCTTCAGTAGATGAACCCAAGAGAAGCACTTGAACAGCTCAGCTGTGGAGAGTTACTGTTGGGAACAGCAGCAGCTTGTTCCCATGTACTCTGCCCACCAAATAACCAACAAGCCTTTGGCAGGTTCATGCTCTTCAGACAAGCTCCAGTACCAACACTGGGACAGCCACGAGCAGAGGGACATGGTCAGAATACAATAAACTCTCTGAAATATTACATTTTAAGGGTGCTGCAGCCACTCAGCAGAAGGTCAGGAATCCACTGCCGGTCCTGAGGCCACTTAATTCTCGTGCCAAGACAAGTGAGGTTTTCCTGGGACACCTGGCCTTCTAGGAAGAGGGAAACAAACTGCTAAGGTGCTTCAGAGATTCACAACACTCTACATATGAGTTGATCTAAAAGATAAAACAAGAGAGTGAGTTTCAATTTGCTCATTTTGTGTGTCAGAAAGCTCAGAATGACAAGGCCCCTCCCCAAGCACAAACTGTTAATACCATAAAGATTCCCAGAGAAATCCCACACTCAATAACACGTCTTACAGCTTGCTGAGATGTGGCAGAGAGAATCACCCAGCTTGTACTCAATGCCAGATAAAGACAGGAAAACCACAAAATACTCTTGTCAGTCCCCTTCTCCTACCACAGAGCCATCAACATCCATCTAGGGTGTAGGAAACACGATGCAGAGCACCCACTGCCAGCATCTTCCAAACAGAACATGGAAAAGCAGCTCCCCCCAGGCTGTACTTTGGCACACAATGCCTAGATACAGATCTGGACACCCAGTTCCTCACGATCATCTTTTTAGGGGCCCTTTTGTTTTAAAGCACCTTGCTGTGAGGTTGGAAAGCTGCATCAGGCTCTTCTGGATGTCACCCTACAGCTCAAAGGATTTCAACTCTAAGGCCCGAGCAACCCATGTCAGCCATGCTGCTGTCACCCAAAGCATCACATTGACAACAGCCTCATCAGGAGGTTATAAATCCGAGAATTATTCATTTGGGTGAGTTTTCACTTCCTCTCCTTCAAAATGGAGTGGATGAGGAGGAAGCTATGGAAACCCAGCCCCGCTTCCCTTCATCCATCTCACATTCCAGACAGGTCTGCTGTTACTCGGGTACTTCGTGGAGGAGGAGGAATGATGGAAGGGCCTCCACGGTCACAAACAGGCCCATCAGTCAGGTCCCACGGGACCCAAGTGTTCCAGGAGCCCACGGAGGTTGGGGACAATGACAAATAAAGGTTAGTGCTGATAACAGAAAGCAGGGAGCGCCGGAAGGAGGGGAAATTCCAACTCCTCCTACATCCTACCCGATCCTAAATTAAACCGCATCGACTTCGGAGAAGAACAGGAGGCAGGAAGCGCAGCCCGGACTTCCCGGTGGCCGGCGAGGTCGCAAGCTCGGCTCAGACAACGCGGAGCCCCGCGGGCGGGCAGCGACAGCCGCCACGGCCCCCGGGCCGGGCCGACAGCCACCTCCGGAAACCGGGGCCTCGCAGCGGCACCGGCGGGCGCAGGCCCCGCGCCCGCCCCCACCCCGCGGACCACGCGAGGCCCGGAAGGCGCCCTCGCGCTGCTGCCCCCCCCGCCCCGCCCGCTGGGGGCCCCAGCGCAGACGGGGGCTGAGGCAGCGCGAGGGCGATTCCCGGGCCGCCGCCGCCGCCGCGTCCTCCCCGTTGGCAGCCCCGCACTCACCGTCCTGCCCATGGCCTCCCGCCGTGCGGCGGCCGCCCAGGCCAGGCGCCCCGGGCCCGGGCTGATGGAAGGCCCGGGCCTACGGGCGAGCGCCGCAATGCGCATGTGCGGGGGGCAGCAGCGGCGCGCCGGTTCCGGCCGGTGGCGGCGGCGGCCACGGTCAGGGAGCGGCCGCGGAGGCGCGCGGCGATGGCGTCATCGCGCCGCGCCGCCCAGGCCGGCCGGAAGCGGGAGGGCGCTGCGTTGCCCCGGTAACGCGGCTGGGTGCGAGGGGCAAGGCCTGCGCCGGGGCTGATGGCGGCCGGGCCGGGGTGTGGAGCCGGCAGGGTCCAGCTCGGCTCCGGCACCGGGGGCAGCTGCACGTTAGAGGAGTCCGCGTCCCGGGGGAGCCCGTGGTGCTCACCCCGCTGGAGGAGCTCGAACGCTCTTAGGCGGTAACATGACAAACGCACAGCCCCAGGTGTCTGGGGGGCGCAGAAGGAGCCAAAAAGTTCCTACGAAACAGACAGGTGGAGGAATATTGAAAAGCAAAATAAAGAGGAGGAAAAGAAGCGTCCTCCCTGCTGCCTTCCGTTGAATTGAATTAGGAATGGCCTTCCGTCCTGGAAGGAGCACAGGAGTGTCTCGTTGGCTCCCTGCCCCGCTCGCTGTCCAGGCACTGTTGTGTGGAATAACAGCAAATAATCATAACTGGGTCCATCTGCCAGTGCCGAGACCCGCGGCGCTGCCCACCCCTGTCCGCGCTCGGTGCTGGTGTGTCCCTGTGCCTGCAGAGCAGTTCTGCCCAGCCCGCACAATGCAGGGCCTGGGGTGCAGGACGTGCATCAAAGGGAGATGACAGGCAAGGTAACAAGTGCTGCTGCGCTGCCAACAAATGCTGTTGTGTGCCTCCCACACACCGCCTGCTGGGAGGGAGAAGGGAGGCGAAGCTGGTGTGGTTTCTCAACAGCCTGAAACGGAACATCTGTTCAGTGACTAAGATAAGCAGGAGAGCCACGTTCCACTTGTCCCTCTGCCATTGCCTGGGACTGGAGCCACAGCCCAGGGCTGGGAATTTCAGCCCAAGCAACACGATGATGAAAGGATTTTGGCTTTCCAGCTTTGCTTTTGTCGGAGAATGACGGGGATGCTGTAATTCCGCAGAGGGGGGGTGCTGGCATCCTGCAGGATCCCCTTGGGGTAGGAAAGGTCTTTCCTGTCCTTCAAAAACACCCAGGCAGCTCCAGTGAGCAGCCCCACAACCTAAACGTGTGCAAGGGTGTGATGCAGCAGCATCCATGTCAAAACTGACCTGTTTGGTTTCTTAGGTCAGCATGACAAAAAAGCAAGGTGCCTGAAACATTCCGACCCCTTTCCTCCTTTAAATGCACACGTACCTTCACAAAGAACAGCCTGTCCTCAGGCCAGGCATGAAGTAAAGCTTTGACATTCACAGAGGTAAGGTCCTGAAGGCCTGCCGGTGGCTCACATGCAAGGAGCCCGCCCACAGCACCCGGCCGCGCTCGGGGCTGTATTTCTTCCCTGTGCTAATTTTACTAAAGACACAACTCATATTCCTGTTGATTGAACAGTTTTGTGGTGACAGCGGTGAAGATTTGTGGGGAAACTTATCATCAGCCCAGAGAGCGGCCATTAGTCCCAGTCACAGCGCCCAGCTAGAGCTGATGTATTTTATGGCAGGCTCCGAAGACAAACATACACATTTATATGTCACTTGTTGCACTATAAATTCTAACTTGTACTTCTTACAAAACTTTTAATGAATTGTACACATTTCCGAAGATTTATAGCGTGAAGCCAACAGCTCAAAATATTACTTTCAACATATTTGTCACTTTGGCAACAGAACAAAACAAATCGGGAAGATACTGCGTTTAGGAATAAATCATGAATATATGCATCTTGAAAGAGTTTGTTTTGGTCATTAATAGTTGATGGCCCCCCCTCAGTGCAGGATTTAAAGTTAAATTATGCAAAATCAAAACCAAACCTTATAATACTTAATCAAACATGCATAAAACTGTCAGGGCCAAATAAATTCTCTCAATTAACTTGCTTCAGATTGTGATTGCATTTACTAATTTAATCAACACCAGAATAATTTGGAGCCTGGGTAATGATGAATTACCGTGGTGCGGCACATGAGGGGCCGGTGAGGCACGTGCTGAGACGGGGACGTGAGACACGCTCTCAAGGCTGAGGGCAAGAAAATAACAGCTGAGTTGTTACCATTGGTTTATAATAGAAACATCTTCTTATTCCCATTTGGGGGGGGAATTTTGTCCAGTGTTGGTTTTAAATGCCTGTCATTGCTAGACCTGCTCTGGATGAATGACTTGAGTCAATCTCATTTCCATCTGAGCTGAACGAGGAACTCAAACTGACATTCTCTCCACATTTTGAACTCATTTTGTGACTGTGATCTTTTGCTCTGAGCACAGGGATCTATGACTTCCAGCCCTGCTTTCTGGCACCGACTCAGACTTTAGCCTGGGTCAACTCATTTAGGCTGGAGCTGGAGTAACAACCCTGTAATATTGAGATGTCCTTTCGTTCAATCCTTTTGCACTCTGAATGGATCTGCACTTACAAGAAAATGGGTCTGACCCCTATCTGGAAAAAGCTTTCAATACTATTACTTGTGGAGAGCTAAACATCTCCATTTTGCAAGCGTAAGCAAGGTTTTATGGGGAGGTTCTCATTTACAGGTCCATGTGAAGGAGGCTGTAAGGCATTCAACCCCATCAAATACCTGCACCTCTGAAAATCACACCCTTAGTTGCTCTTTAACCTTTCCACACCTGTTTCACAAAAAAAATAACCGTGTCCCTATAGCTGCTGTGGGACTGATGTCAGCACTGCAAAACTCTCCCTTTTTCTCTCTCTCACTGCAAAACAGACTTCCCACAGGCTGGCTGGCCATTTTTGTCACCGTTCATTTGAAATGGGGGTTGTGCTTTATAAACGTCGAGCACTCAGCGCAGTTTGGTGCCCAGCAGAAATCAGTAAATAAAACTGTGTGTGCTGAAAAGGACAGCCAGAGAGCTCGCTAACAAATTTCCTCCACTGACCCAGAAACAACTCCTTGCTCAGTGGTGCTAGAGCCATTCAGAGAGCCATAATTCTTAAGGTCTTAAACATAATAAATGTGTTAACATGGTATTTTTCAGCCTTGCATTCACTGCTGCCTTCCAGCCGTATCCAAAACCACCATTCAAAACAAAGTGTCCTGGGCAAACTCCCTTGGGGTTTGCTGAACCAGCCTGTGGAGCTGAAATATAACAAATTAAGGAATTAATTCTTTCCTTTTCCCGAAAGGAGATTTAGGATCAGGTCTGGGCTTTAAATTTTAAACATAATCGATCCTCCCTACAAATCTGAAGTGCAAAAGCTTGTGAAATAATTTTTCCTTATTTCTTCTCTCCAGATCTCACCTCTTAGCTGAAATGTCAGCTTTAATCTGTTTGGAGAGATTTGCATGTGGTAAATAATAATACACTAGATTAGACTAATCAAATAAAAACCTATGTAGCAGAAAGTGGAACTAATTCCCACTTCTGCAGCACTGCAATACCCGTGGGCATCCCCTGAGCAGCACTCAGAATCCCTATCCCTCCCGTCCTCTCACCTCCCCGGGGAGGCTTGGGGTGTTGTTTGGGATTTCAGTAGCACTGGAAACCAAGGGAGTGGTGTATATGCATCCACACCCTCAACTAAAATCCACACTGCAGCAGTGCTGAGCACAACCAGATATCCCAGCTCAGCAGGTAAGGCTACAGAGCACGAGGAGGGCAGGCTGCCGTGTCCCTGCAGGAATTCCTGCTCCTGGAACACTTTTATAGATAGATATTTTACAGGTGACTTGTGAAATATAAAACTAGACCAGTCTGCAGTTTCTAAAGAAATAAATGGTCCGTGTGAGGCTTGGTGAGACAGTAATGTTTGATGTATTCAATATACATGACACCTCAGTGTGTGCTCTGGCATAATAATCTGCCCTCTGCTGCCGCCAGCATTTGCTTCACTGAAGAGCCTGGGGGTGCCCAGGGAGCTGGGGGAAGCCTGCCCCTCCCTGCCCTGCAAACTGCTCCCTCCTGCCACAGGGAATGGGGCACAAGGACCAGCCCCAGTTAACCCACAACAGGTTGGGTTAAATGTGTCATCCTATAGCGGGGACACTCACCTGCACTGGTACCATAGCACAGGACAGAGCCTCACTCCCAGCCATTCCTCCCGCCTCTGGAGAACAGAAGGTTGTTATTTTAGCGATGCTGGAGTCAAGGAAAGATTCCTGCTGACCTGCAGGGCTGGTGCAGGAGCCAGCTGCACACATATGGTGAGTGAGAAACTGTCTCTAAAACAAATGAAAATAGAATTGGACACTTTGCCAGGGACAGGCCTCCTGCCAACGCTTGTTGCTGCATCATGTTGGCTACCCCCGATCTGCCTGATGTCAGAAACTGCTGATTATGCAGAAAAACCTCATGCAGAAGTGTCGTTATTGCCTTCTGTTCATCCATGCTCTAACGTAAGCACGAGGCGTTAAACCAGCCCCAGTCCCAGCCTGCCCTGCGGAGCTGAGGTTCGGTGGGCAGGCCCGGGAAGCCTCCCAGCTCCTCAGGCTTTGCCAAGGTGATATTTCAGTAACACCTTTTCTCTGGGAACCTCAGTTTCCTGTTTTCCCATTCATCAATAACATGTCTCAAACCTATCATGGTAGTAGCAGATGGGTCCTTTTAAACTCATTGTGTAGATCCACCAGGTCTGTGCTGGTCTTGCTGCCCCTGGGCAGCAGCAGGGCTGGGATATGTCTCATCTCCAGCATTTCCAGTGCCCCTGTCTCTGTTTCCAGAGGTACTTTAGCAGCCCATGAGGGTGCTCAACACCACACCAGCACTTTGGGGCAGGGAGTTTGAGCAGCCTCTCATGCGACAGGAGCACACCGTGGCTCTGCAGGGAAACAGCAGCAGTTGAAGGCTGATAACTGCCACAAAGCCCTGTGCTGGGCAAAGCAGGAAGGCTCATCTTGAGCTCTGCAGTGAGAAAACACAGACCCCATCTCACGCCATCATCCCCAACAATTCCCTGGGGAAAAAACCACCAACACCAAGATACCCAGGCAGACTTGAATTTTACTCCTTCTATCCCTTTTCCAACACATAAGTCCCAGTTATCCAAC